TTTCACAGATGGATTGATTTTTCTCATATTTCTCCTGATTGTTCTCTATTGACGTTGATGTGCTTTGCATAACAATATGTCCGACAACTTTAAATTAGTTTCCCAGGGCTTTGCTCTCCACATGGGAGTTCTGATTAGCGAGGGCCGCTTGAGTGGCTTGTCAATCTATCCCGTCGAAGAGGAGCGCCCAACAAGGTGCCTTCGCTTTCTGGAGAATTTATGCTCGCTGACTCTCAGAAAGAGAAAAGATGTCATCTATCGCTGAGGGAGGCAATAAATAAAAATATCAAAGCGTGACCGCGGGGTTGCCTGGTTGACCCAATCACTCAAGCTTGAGTTCATTCCCCATAATCCTTGTGTCTTCTCTCATGACGGTACAGTTACCCAAAGCCACATCTGGAATGAAGCGTGAACGTCAACTACCCCCTTAGGTTCTGTGAAAATGCTTGAATGACCTACACCATTGTTTCTCAAGCCCCCACAGATTCATTTCGGATATCTCCCAAATTTTAGCACACCTGATTCACTTCATTAGTCACTCTGTGGAGACCCTCTTGAGTCTATGAACTAAACTGGGTGTGTTTGATTAGTCAGATCTCTAAAATGTGCGGTAGGAATGTATTGAGAAATCCTGACCTAGACTAATCAGGAGTGAAATCCGATTGAGATTTCACTCTCAGGAATGAGCAAAAGGGCTTAGGCTTAGTGCTCGAGGTCGACCTCCGCTTGTCTCCTATCCTCAGAATGGCCTTCCTGACAAATCCGACCAGGCACTTTGTCTCTAACATCAGCATGGGTGCGGCATTGCAGTTTTTATGGCGAGTGACTTGGTTAAATTATCTGTCGAGGAAATCGGAACAGGATTAGGGTAGGAAGGGAATCATGGGTTATACACTGCTATCAAAAACAAGCATGGCAGAGCCAGAGATATGGAGACAACGGGGAAAGTGATGGGATTCAGAGGTGACTTCTCTCAACACATTGTACGGCTCAGGGGTGGGATTATAAAGCAATTAGCAGCACTGGCGGTGATTAATACTGTGGCTAATAGGATGAGGCTGAAGATCGGATGGGGGAAGGGAGGTACCGAGCACAAGAAACCCGAACGAAGACAAGCACAGTGCATCAATCACAGATGACAGCTGGGACAGGGTCCAGGAGTTCCATTCATCATGAGAGAGAGGGGGACACACACAGCTCAGCAAAGTAGCAGTGGAAGCATTAATTTCTAGTTGCTTCAAACATCCCTGACACCTCAGATTGTAAACTGGAGCTCCATTCATCATGAGAGAGAGGGGGACACACACAGCTCAGCAAAGTAGCAGTGGAAGCATTAATTACTAGTTGCTTCAAACATCCCTGACACCTCAGATTGTAAACTGGAGTTAGGTACTTAACTTGGATGAATCAACCGGGAATCAAGATGATGGCATTAGAGAGGCTGCCAGGGTTTAAGAGGAACTTCTCATAATAAAATGCTGTAGTCAGACTTTTAGGGCGTGTTCACACTTGTAGTTCGGTTCGTTTGGTTCATTTGGTCCGGACC